ATAGAAAAGTGGGAGCCCTATCTTCATTTTTATTTACATTAATATTTTGATAATATTCCACTGAACATAATTCAATTAGAGGTACTAACTTTTTTGGTAGTAATAAGAGCTACTACATTATGTTAAATGTGCGTAATTTTGTTTATAGTCATAATAGAAACTGCCCAATGCTTTAATCTTCCAAATCTTCCTATAAGGGGATCCTTTTCATACTTCTCCAGTGCTTTTCCATATCTTCAGGATCCTGTTACTTGTAACTTGCATCAGTTTCATATTCTTTTGAAAAGGTAGTGTAGTGAGAAATGCTTAAATCTATTTTAAATTTTACATTTTTAAACAATTTCTTTCTTCATGATCCAAAACTATGTTTACTACATGCACATTTTTTTTGTTTTACTGCTCATAAAGTGCTGTTGATTATTTAAGAAAGGAACTTATTTTCTTCTTCTTTTCCTTCACTTCTGATATTTTATTGAAACTTTTCATTCCTAGATATGGTTAAGATTTTTGACTAGCTAACTTGTGAACATTTCTGCTTCAGTTCTGTAACGTAAAATGCCATTTGCAGGTACAAGGTGGGAGATATGGGCGTTAAGCAAGCTGAACCTCGACTGGAACCAAAGAAATATAGGAGACAATCGCGGAAACGGATTAACCAGTCAATATTAGAAGAATTAGATGAACTTGATGATGACGATAGCTTAGACTTAGAAAATGACCCAATTGTAAGAGCAATAAAGAATGAAAACCAGTAGGAAATTCACTGGCCTTGGACTGTACAGTGTAAATAATATGGTTGACCCTTTTTGTAGAAGAGAATGTGAAACTTGACGTGCCAGGTTGCTGTTAGTATGTGGTGCTAATAAGATTGTCAAGTCCTTTTTGGTATAAAACCTTGCATGACAGCATCCTCAGGATTTTACTCAGCTGCTAGAATGCATGTAATTCACTTTTTGTCATGGAGTTCAGTGTCAAGCCCTTGAAGGAGATAATATTTCTCGTAACAACAGCAATCAATATGCTTCTGAGAAGTCATTCTTCATTCTGAAGCCCTTTAAGAACGACATGATATCGTTCCGCACTGCAAGCTACCCCCACCTTTTCATTTCATTGCCGTAAGATTACCGTTGCAAGGAGTAAGAAATGTCTTCTATATCGTTTCCGATTAGTTGCCACCAAAGTTTCGTAGCCGCTGGAAATTGTCACTGCTCAGCAGGTTTAAGAAAACATAATAGGGGACTCTGTTTCCATTGCCCAACTTATCACGAAAAAGCTTTAAATCATATCCAAGAATAAAACTACATTTCCATCCTCTCCACTTACAATATTTCATAGCAAAACAGTAGCATCATAGCAGTATGAAAACATATGAGAGGCGTCAAGAAGAAAGTGATGCATAACAGAAGAATTCCCTTTGAAGGATCATTCCATAGTTCAAAATTTTGGGGAAATTAAGTAGACTACAGTATCCATTGATGCACATGAAGGCAGAAAACATCAACTCAGCCTGTATCAAACTCTAATGATGCTAAGATCAATTAAAACGACCTACTTCTTGGTGGCTTTCTTCTTTGAACTCACAGCCACCTGTGGCTTGGGATGCTTCTCAGCTTCACTGGGATCCAACCAATTGAGTGGGTGGCGGTTGAAGAAAGGCCAATTTGGAACAGTAATCAATGTGGTGAGAGTCACACCAGCAGCATATACAAGGATCATCATCTGAAACGATCCCAATACATAACCTGTAATGAATGCAATCACCGCAAACACCAACAGCATTATTTGCATTGTCTGCTCTGCTACTTTTTGCCCTTGCCAATCCATCTACAATACAATTCAACCATCAACATAAGCCAAACGCTAGGAAACCACAAAAACAATGACTGAAAACAGTTAAGGAAACTATAACTACCATCCATCGTTGCTCAAGCTTTATCATTAGCATGAATATCTCCTAGAAAAACTTTTAAAGCAACTAAAATAAAAATGAAATAGTTTTTTTTTTTCCCATTATGCTGCTATGGTTTGTGCTTCGCCAATGAAGGGACATTGGGCAATCGATCTTCTCCCTTCCCATTTTCATTCCAGTTATTAATCTTCATTTCTTTCATCGCCGATTATGCTAGTATTGCAGGTGTCACTATATTTGCTATACACATGAATCCCGATCCCCAAATTGCTTCGTTCAAGTACATTCGTTTCAAAACCCTAGAGATCAATGACACTGACTTGGGAGCAAAGATCGCTAAATCAAAGCCCTAAATGGGGTTTATCCGAGAAAGCAAAAGAAAAGTGAAACTTAAAAGCCATTGAAGCTAATTGCTCATTAAAATCTAAGATCATCAAAACCAATCACGATCAAGAGGAACATTGGAATTGGAGAATTAAACAGTGATGGCTAATCCTTAGGGCTATGCTTGCTTTCAGAGAAACTAAACTCAAATCCCCCTCGCCTTTACAGCCGGAAGGCCATGCTCTTTCCTTTTCCGCATGATTCTTAAATTTCGATCAATATGGAAATAAAACTTATCATAAAATTTTTAACAAAAAGAATTTGCGTTGTAACTCAAAACCCAACGCCTGCAATTACGATTTCTCATTGAGAAGAAAGAGTAGAAGAGGTAAACCTTACCAGAAACTCGAGTGCAGTGCCAGAGAGGAAGACGATGTCCGAATGTGAAAGTCAAGATGGAGAAACTGACGAATTTAAAGTACAGATTTTAATATGTATTTGTGAACTGACGATCTGATTGAAATCAAGAACGCGTATGATAGCCGTTGGATCAAATTATGAAATCTAGGCCCACGCTGTTTATTTTACTATTTTTTTAAAAAAAAATTAATACTTATTGTCACGTAGGATGTATATAAAAACAAATTTATAAAAAAAAATAAATAAAAGCTGTATTTCACTTGTTTGGTTTAATATAAAAACAATACCAGTCTTCTCATTGCTTGAACCAAACAAATAATAGATGATTTTAGAGTTTATTTAATTAAGTTTAATGTTAGATTTTGATCTAAAGAATTCAATTAAGAATTTAACTGTCTAATTGAACATTAGTTGTTTAAAGAAATTTTATAATTAATTGTGAGGAACATATTTTACTTGTTACTTGCAGTTTGATAAACTTCAATATATTAAAATTAATTTCATATATTTTATAAAACCTTGTATCTAAATAAGTTTAAATATTTAAGGGCTTATCGTGAAAGATTGGATTTTCATTTCATTTAGTATTAATTAATTGCACCTACTTCTTTATTTGAATTTCAATCCTTACTTGATGCTACTACGTTATTATTTATACAATGACAAATGGCAATTTAGGAATATAAGAATGTTCATTTTCTTCAATCAAAATTACTTTTAATATCCGTATTTTTCTATATACTAATTTTTATTAATACCTGCTTTGCACATGAATATTTATTTTTAAATAAAAATTATATATAACACAAATGTTTTTAAATTGTAAAATTGATTGTTTATAAATATAAAATTATATATTAAAGACAATTAATATTTCAATTGTATATTAAAAACATTACATTTTCCTCCTTTCAAACAACGGAAAGGTTGAAAAATTTTCAACCTTACCAAACAAAGCCTAAAACACATAAAATTTCAAGATTTTAATCAATTCATGAATTAGGGTTTAAACATAAACAAGAAACTTTAAGTTTTGATCTCTCTACAAGAAAAAACCAAATTACTACATAGTTATGGATTTAATCCTTGTATTAAAAGGAACAAAAACTCTATGTTTATTGACAAAACTAGTAGCTAAAAAATAAATTTTTGCTTTCTTAAAGATCTCGACTTAACATGATAAATATATGACAAATCACATAAAATAATACTTAATTGGATCATATGTTCAAACTATGACAAGTTTTGATATCAATTGATAGACTTTATGTATTCATTTTTTATTTAACTCAAGATTCTTTATAGTGAATTTTAGAATACAGAAGAACACTTGATTTTTAGTCATGATTTGGCAACGGATACAATAGTGAAAAGATCGATTTTTAGAGATTCAACACATTAGGATCTTCCTCTTCCTTGATCTATAAACTCTGAAAGAAGTAAGATTTTTAATGTTTTTTTTTGTGTAAAGAGAATACCTAACCTTACTGTTATAAGATTTTCTACACCAGACTGTACTCTTAAGCCTGCATTCACTATTGACGTCTAACCCATCATATTAAGAGTTATAATATTGGCACTTTATCAAGACTCAATAAGCTTAGCCCCTTTCATAAAAGGCAAAACTAAATTAAATAATATAATTTTATATTTTAATTATTTAAAATCTAACAATAAGCTCTATAAAATAAAAAAGTGTAGGAAAAATCCCTATTTCTAACACATTCAAGAGAAAAAAAGTTTTAAATTCAATGTAATTCTTCACTAACGGTTGCCATTTGCAAAAGCATATAATTTAACCCATTCCTCTGGCTTCCCAAATGTATTTTGGCCTTTCTCTCCTTCTTTATCTTCCTGCTTACAACTTGGCTTGCCATCAACCAAGAAATTTTCTTTCCATTTCCAATATTCCAAATCCATGTTGAAATGAACAAGTTAATTCTCGTGCATAGTTTCAAAACTGGAAGAGTACAAGCTAAAATTAAACCATATTCAAGAAGTCTTGAAATATGCTGCATTTAGAACTTGGGATTTTCCCTGAAGTAATGGTTTGAGAGTGGAAAGAGCCTGTTGCAAGCATTGCTACCCCAAAGAAACAGTAGCAAGTATCAAAGGGCATGGTTTCAAAAGCCTAACAAATCATCCAAAGCATTGTTACCAGGTTTCCCAGAATCAATGATGATATGTGTATTCCTATTGCCAACAGCACGGACTCACTTGTAGTCCTGCCACTGTAAAGAATTTTTGGCTAGTTTTGAGTGAAAAATCATAAGCCTTTTCCATTTTTATCCTTTTTCCTATTATTATGGGCAAATAACATTCATTATTCTTTTAAAACAAGTTAACCTCAATCACAAATGCAACTTCTATAAAACTTTATAATTAGACTAAGATTAAACAGAAATCTCCAAGAAAAATCTCAAATGACATTTGACTAAACAAAGTTTGAAAACACAAGAAACCATCCAATACATCTAAACAACAACTCATTCTATTTTGAAAAATATCAAAACTTCCTCTAGGTAAGAAATCAAAGTCGAGAAGCACCCCTTCACTGACTAAAATTTTAAACTTCAACTCAAGAGGAAACACCACTGCGCAGAGCTTGGGACTTCTTAGACTTGCTAGCTGCCAGTTGGGTCTCAGGCTGAAAGAAAGAAAGATTATAAACAAAAAACATACAAGCACAGCATCATTTTCATACATTAGGGAAGTTGAAGTCTAATTGAATTACCTCTTTCTTAACAGATTCTTCCTTCTCAGACAAAATCAATTCAATGTGGCAAGGAGAAGACATGTATGCTGCAAAGGACAGTGTCCTATTAAGATGGGAATACAAAATAGAATCTACACAATAACAAAGTGCATGGTTCTAGTACATACGGTTGATTCTTCCATGAGCACGGTAGGTACGACGCCTCTGTTTCTGAGCCTGGTTTACTTGGATGTGAGAAATATAGAGTGCATCGACATCTAAACCCTTAACCTGAGAAATTAATTTCAAATTGTAAGGAAAGGAAAGCAATAGAGCTGACAAAAATTAAACACCACAGAGGAGGCATACCTCAGCATTACTCTCAGCATTTTTCAGTAAGTCTAGAATGAACTTGGCAGATTTTACAGGCCAGCGACCTTGTCCATTAGAATGCCTGTTCTTTGCCTGAGCTGTACGTCCGACACCACCACAGAAGCGTCGGAAGGGTATGGCCTGCTTGTGGGCCATAACATCCTCCAAATACCTCTTAGCCTTACCCAAAGGCAACTTTCTTATGGCAAAGGCAGTCTCCCTTGTGTTCTATAAAACAATAACCAAGAATGAGACTCATTGATTACCATCAGCAAACCAGAACAAGCACAAAAATGGCCAAGAAAAACCAAAAATAAAAGATGGGGAATTATATCATAAAACCAACACAATGACAGCTCACAAAAAGTTAGCAACATCAAGACACAGCCAAAAAGCGGTTGAACAAACTCATTCTCATATCATAATTAATCCAAAAACTAACTTTTTTCCTAACAGATAACCAAATGTGGCATCATTTACTGAACCTTCAGTCACCACATGAAAACAGAGGTTCACCCAATAACAATGCAAGCAATTTTCCTGAAGTTTACGAGAGCCTCGTCCACAAAAGGCAACAAGACCCTGCTTTTTTCATCAGGTTCAACAACCCAAACACTCAGCCAAAAACTTTATAAAAACTATAAACAACACAACATAAAGAGCTTACCAGAATCACTTAAAAGTCCTCCCTCAAGCAAATTAAAATGCAAGCAAAATTAAATAGAAAAGCTTTGAGAACGGCATTCAGTAATGTAATGCAAATTCAATCAAGGTATTAACTATAATAGCAATTCGAGCAAACATGCTTTCACGAAACTACTTCACCAAGCTAATCTCCATCTAAATTTAACAACCAAATATTAGTCTCACATCATTAACTGGATCTTTAGTGCTAACGATAGACAGAGGCTCCTCAACAAGAATCCAATCAATACCAGAACAATAAATCAAGAATTAAATCAAATTATATCAAGTTAAGATGATACTACCTTGAAATGAACCCGAAGATCAGAGCCCCTTGCCTTGCAGGCTGCAGAGAATAGACAAAAAACATCTTCAGCTTCTAACAAAAATAAATGGGATTTACAGAAAGAAAGGAAAGAGCTGGACAAGGAACAAATGAGACTTTACACTTAGTGGAATTATCGGGTTCCCTTGAATACTTCACCTGAAACAAAATAAAAGAAATGGATTTAAAACAACATCAAGTTTCGAGTTATATAGTCTCATAAAAATAAAAATGAAACGAAGAAGAGCTTTAGAAAACAATTGATGAAGCGATAGGAGAAGAACGAGCACCATGGCGGCTGATCTGGTTGCTGCTTCTGCTGCCTTTTTCCGGGTGGTCTGCCTAGCACTAGCAGAAGAAAGGGACGAGCGGCGAATTGAGTTGCGTTATAAAGGGTGACAAATGAAAAACCCTAATCCTAAATGATGGTTTTCAAAATGGGCTAGGCCTGCCATAGGCCCATTAACCCTTTTGTAGGTTTTTGTTTGTGTTCCTCACAGCTCACCACGGCATCCGACTCGGGTTTCATTCATTCAATACGTACACTAACCAAATTCTGAACGAAACAAAATTTTCCAGTTAATTCAACCAAAAAACAATAATAAAAAAAAAAACACATTGACGCTAGTCAATGTACAGACATCAGCAAGCATAAATTTCAAAACAAAACTAATTAAAAAAATAAGTTAAATTCTCTAACAAGTTTTTAAATTATATTAAGAAAATTAAATTAACTTTTAATTTTTTATTACGTTCAAATAACTTCTAAATTTTTATTTTGAGTTAAATAAACTCTTTTCACCAATGAGACGTGGTATCAAAAATTATTGACTAAGAATTAGATTTTTTCCTTTTTATCCATCCAAATATCTAAAAATTATTGATTAAGGATTTGAAATACAAAATTAAAAAAATAACTAATAGCTTAGAACTGATTACTATAATTTCTTAACTAATTATCATTCTCTTAATTGAAGTCATCCTTAATTACAATAGTTTCAATCGAACTGAAAAAGTTGGATTAGATTTTTTTATTAGAAAGGATGGCTTCAAGTAAGAAGATAATAATTAGTAAAGAAATGATGATAAGCAAATTGAAACAATTAGAATTTTTTTCTTAATTTTTTGTTTTAAATTTTTAGTCAATAATTTTTGGACATTTGAATTGGTAAAATGAGAGAAAAAAAAACCCAATTCTTAGTTAGCAATTTTTGATAACAAGTTAACATGTTATGCAGCACATAACGTGGCATAAAACATTGTTAGCTATACTGTTAACTAACCGAAGTTAGTCAACGATCAATGAAATGAGCTTATTTAACTAAAAATAATAATTCAAGAGCTTATTTAAATGTAATAAAAAAGATAAGGCTAAATTGACTTTTTTTGTATAGGTCGGAACTTTATTTGTGTATTTAGCTTAAAAAATACAAATACTATCAATAAAATTGTAATTATATAAAAAAAAATTACTATTAGAGTCTATTTGAAAAGTTTTTTCAAAATGATTTTTTAACAGTTTTCTCTATTTGAAATTTGGGAAAAATTTTTGCGAATCTAAAATGTTTTACAGGTCAATAAAAAAAATTATGTTGATTAACATAAAATATCTTACGTACAAGAGAGACAAAAAAATTGTCTATCTACATTCTTCCTAGGATTGATCCTATTTGAAAAATATTGTCTTCCCCTTTTTTGTGAGATCGATCTCACAAAGTAATAAAGTATCATTATTCTTCCTTTTTTTATCTCTTTATTTAGTACTCTTTTACCCAAAAAAAAATCATTCAATATTTTTAATCAATTATTTCATAGAGATCATATCACTATAATTATTTTTACTATAATACTACAATCTTTAATATACCACAAAATAATTAAAATCAATTAAAAAATTTATATAAAATAAAAAAAATAAAATTTTCACACATGAAAATCTTACCTCTTTTTTAATTTCCAATTTAATCCTTCAACTATTTATTTCCAAAAGGAACAAAACGGTGGCTGAAATTAGTTATTTTGATCAAAACCCAAATGATAGAAATTAAGGCTCCAAAAAATACGATGAAACTGTAAAAGCAAGCTGATAACTTTATTATATAGAGTTATCACATGCACCTTTGGAACATGAATTTTACTAAGCTTTTTACTCTCTTTTTTTTTGTAATATTTAAGAAATTTCTATGCTTTTTAGTAGTAATTTAACTTATACGGTATCAATTTCCATTTATGTAATTTTAACTTAATTTTTTTGTCAAAATCCTTTATTTCAGCCTCTGATTATTTAATCCCTTAATGTTGAAGGAAATGCAAAGGATGGTGCAAGTGGGCTCAAAAGGCAACTAAATATGCTAAAATTTTTAGGGCATAAATCAAGTTGCAAAAGTCTGATTGAGGTGAATGTTGAACCAATGGAAAGTCTAGAGGATGAGCTATAACTTTAATGTTCAACACTTCCCCCAGATTAGAAGGCATCATGGCCAACGATGAAGTTAAATAGTGAGGACTGCAACAGACTACACAGAGCAAGTTAGAGAGTTTCTCATTGCGGGGAGAAGCAAGGCAAAATTAAGCCCAAGTCAAAGAGTTTCTCACCACAGCAAGAATGCAAGTTGGTTGCATCGAGAAACAAGGCAGAATGAAACTTTAAGTCAAAAGGATTTTTGCTACAACGAAAATCCATTCTCGCTGCAGCGAAAATGAGGATATTTGCAATACCAAGTTAGAGGCAATTTCACTACAGTAAAAATCCATTCTTGCTGTAGCGAGAACACGTCATTTAATGAACATTTTTGGACGGGTTTCTAGGTTAAGCTAAAAAAGAAAGGGGTATAAATAGATATTGTTGCACTAAGAAAGAAGAGGATTATGGGAGACCATTTTGGGTAAAAGGAGGCAAGAACCAAAAAGGAAGAAAAGGAAAGGAATCAAGAGTTGGAGGATCAAAAAGCTACAACAAATCATTTCTCACTCTAGATTTGATTCTCTTTCTCTAACTCTTTGTGTAACAATGCTTTGCTTTACTTAAAATGTGTAGTTTCCTCTTGAACATGTTGAGCTAGAATTTTCAATCTAGGATTATGGTGGATGCTATTATGTAGTTGGAATACTTTGGATTCATTTTTACTTACTTTTATGAGAATATCAATGTTTATTCAAATTTATGCTTATTATCTCATTTGTTGCTTAATCACCAACAAGTTAAGTACGGGGTTTTAGATGATGCTAGACAAAGATAATCTAAAAGGACCTAAAGTTGAGTAATCTATGTTCATTCCATGTTAAAAAATTAAGTGGGTGATTAATTAATAGGATAGATGTATACCTATTAATCATACATAGTTAATATAGGTCCTAAACTCAGTGAACTTAGCTTTAGTTAATTTTCTATAGACATATAAATAATTAATGAAGCTAGACAATTGTGTGATGACTCGATGGAGTATTATGCATGCTCAAGGAACCTAGACTAACATTGATTCTCATAAAAGTAATGAGTTAATTGATTTTATATCCCTACAAAGCAATAGCTGAAACCATTGTCCTAGGATTTAATTACATTGTTTCCTCACCACACCTTTAACTTGCAATTATTAGGTTAATTTAGACTTTTAAAGTAAATTTCATTTCATTTTAACAACTTGTTCTTTTTGTTGCTTGGATAAAACTTAGCTTGTTACAATTTTAGTAATTAGTAATAAATAGCAAACCAACTCCTTGAGGGATCGACAACCTCAACTCATCACTATATTACTTGTTGCGACTGTGTGTACTTGCACATAATCTTCGTTTGTATTTTGTATTTAATTTTGAGCATAATCCATATCAGACAAGCAAAAGATATTTACACAATAAGTTTTAGGCGTCGTTGTTGGGGAGTCATTTGCTATTCTTTTGCTAATATTAATACTAAACAGGCTAGTCTTAATTCAAGCTTTATTTTTCTTTGTTTTTAGGTACGTAAAACTATCATTATATGAGAAGAGTGCAAAGTTTGGAATGGGTTTTTCGTGATTCGAAAATAGGGGAAACTTTTCAAAGATTACTTAAACAAAATCCTTAAAATGGTAAGCAAGTTGAAAACATGGCTAGAAATTAGAGGGAACAACACATGCAGGAGCATGAAGCAACAAATAATAGATCCTTGAGAGATTATGCAGTTCTGTTGGTGCAAGGTCTTCATTCAAGTATTAGGAGGCCAGCAATTCAAGCTAACAATTTTGAAATCAAGCTAGGTATTATCCAAATGATATAAACATCAATTAAATTGGAGGTCTACCCAACGATGACCCCAATGCTCATATTACTATTTTTTTAGAGATTTACAACACATTCAAGCACCATGAGGTCACCGATGATGCTATACGGCTAAGGTTGTTTCCTTTCTCATTACAAGACAAGGCAAAAGTTTGGTTGAACTCTTTTCCCACTAGCTCCATTACTATTTGGGACGACCTTGCACACAAGTTTCCAACCAAGTTATTTCTTCTCGCGAAGATTGTGAAGATGAGGAATGACATCACTTATTTCATGCAGTTGGATCTTGAGTTTTTATACGAAGCATGGGAGAGGTATAAAGACTTGCTTTGGAGATGTTCACACCATAGCCTCCCTAAGTGGTTGCAAGTGTAAACTTTATACAATGGGCTGCTAAATCCAATTTGGACCACCATTGACACAACAATTAAAGGTGCTCTCATGGCAAAGTCAATTAACGATGCATATGACCTCCTGAAAGAGATGGGTTCCAACAATTATTAATGGCATTCTGAAAGGGCTTTATCAAGGAGGGCAGCTAGGGTTCATGAGATAAATGCCATTAATGCATTGTTAGCCTCAGTGGCTGCTCTCAAAAAGAAAATTGATGCTTGCAAAGTCCATTCAATAAAAAATATCTTTATTTCTTATGATTATTGTGGGGACGAAATGCTACCGATCATTGTCTAATGAGTATAGAGTCAGTGCAATTTGTTGGTAACAAGCAATAGAACTTTTCACAGTAGAATAATACATATGCAAATACTTATAACCCTAGGTGGAGAAACCACTCGAATTTCTCTTGGGGAGGCTAGCAGGGATCTTCATCAGCTATGCATCCACATTTTTCTCCAAGTTTTCCACAACAACCTAAATCCCTAGTGCAGGAAAAGAAGCCTTCCATGGAGGAGTTACTCATGCAGTACATGGCAAAGACAAATGCCTTTATTCACAATCAAGCAACTTCGTTGAAAAATCTTGAGACTCAAGTGGGGTAGTTAGCCAATGCTGTCAATGCTAAGCCTCAAGGAACATTGCCTAGTGATACAAAGCCAATTCCAAAAAGAGAAAGAAAAGAGCATGTGAAGGCCATCACTCTTAGGAGTGGAAAAATATTGGTTAGCAGTAGTA